TAGGAACTAAGTAAATCACCTTAAACTTGTTATGAATATCTGCAAGGTTAGGTTATCTTTTTAAAATTCGAATTAACTTTTCAAGCTTATTTGGAATAACATATGAGATTCCATGAGATGGTTACATGTCATACAAAAGTTATTATGAGGTTATGAGAACAAGACTAAAAATGGGCCAAGATTGGCAACATAACAGCAGTAACTCATAGGTGTTATAAATCCATGACATGACATGCTATGCATTCTACTCCCGAGCTATAATTGGGAGGTATGGGCCTATTGCCTATATTTATACGTATGAGACAAAGATGGCCACAAGTTGGCGATTATGATGCCAGTTCGCTACTGGAAAGCACTACCATTGCTAGCATTTGGTTGGGTATGTCATGCATTTGCATATATATATATATATATATAGGTGTGTGTGTGTATTCACGACAAACGATTATACGAGCTAACCATGCATATTTAAGTAGTAGGGGGCTAAAGGTCAGCCATGTCGATTATTTGGGTTTCAGTTTCAGGTGGTATCTCTATTACCCTTTTACAATAAATGTTTATGATTTTACTTTTCTCTTTACATACCAGTACATTTTTTATTCATACTGACGTCCCTTTGCCTGGGGATGCTGCTTTTTGTTTTGTGCGAGCAGGTACATGCAGGGACTCTAATCGACCCACCCGCTAGGATTTAGGTTCAGCTGTGAGTTGGTAAGCTCCATCTTATCCTGGGGCTATCAGAGGATGTTTACTTTTGCTGTAAAGTTTGGGTATAGTCGGGGCTTGTCCCGACAGTGCTTATGTCACTCATAGAGGCTATTGTGGACACAATATTCTGGTTTTTTTTTGTATGTTTCAACCTCCAGCCAATAGTCTTGGCATGTATATATAGGTGTGTGTAAGTAGGTATGTTTTCGGTTGTGGCCTCGTCAGCTAGATAGTACATCTTTATTTTTTTTCGGTTTGTCTACCATTGTTTGTATGGTTATTCTCTTTCAGGTCATGACCTCTGGGTCCAGGCTTCAGTTTTTAGAGGTTGTGCTGCCCAATCTTTTTGCCTCAAAAGTTTGGTTTAGCTAGTATGTTTCAGTGGGTAATTCGATGTATTAGGGTATTGTGTGCCAGTTACGCCCCCTATTTCGGGTCGTGACAAGAATAAAATATCATCCTTTTCTCCTAGAATAGTAAGAATATGGTACTGATATTTATTTTCTTCCTTATAAATAATTGCTTTTTAATTGTATGTTATGATGGTTTAAGATGCTGATTTAGGATACTAGCTTTTTAAAATTATTCCTACAACTGTATTACTAAAAAAAGAGTTAGTTATATACTTACACTTTAAAATGTGTATACGTATTGTATTTGTGCTTAATTTGGGGTGAGATTCTTTAGAGCTATTTGTAGTAACATTAATTTTGGAAATTTTGGTACAACTTATATTTTATCATGTCATGTTGTAGTTGTACAAACAGCCACATTTTTATTATTTGATTACACATTGCACCTATATAACTAAATTTAATTGTTTTTTCTAAGTTTAGGCAATCCTTAATATTTTGTATTGAACAATTAAGTCATTTGAGTAGCTTAATTATTTGTCAATTCAATTTGTACTTTCTTTCTTCAAATTTATATTACTCTTTCCACACATGTTTAATATTATCTTATTATTTTTTAAGAAAATATGCTAGCGGAATTGGAACACACGTGCAACGCATGTTCCCTGAAACTAGTTAAACTAAATAAGGAACTCTAAAAAGCATCTACAAATTATTGTAGTACCTATTATGTATTACCACCTCGTCTCTAAATAATACTAGAAAGAATAGTGCTAGCAGTAAGTTGTCATTATCATTTACTGATGCATATTAATCTATATAAATGTATTATCTCTTTTTCTACCAAACTAAAAATAAAAATATAAACTAAACAAGATTATTCAATATATAAAGGGTGTGAATGATAAATATTAAATAATCTTTTAAATTACCAACATTGTTTCATCTTCCGCCTCATAGTATTGTGCATATGATTGCTCGCCTTCTAGAAATAACCAATTTCCATCTTCTATATCTCGATAGTTAGGGCAACGCATTAAGCCCCCAACATTGAATTCTGACCCTATACAATCTGCACTAAAAATAAATATAATTAAATATGCGCACATACAAATACAATTTCAAATGGAGCAATTTATTCACCCAAAGCTTTTTACTCTCATAGAAAAATTCGAGTAGAAAAAGGACGATAACACCTTATAGGTTAACGGAATAAACATAGATAAATGATAAACAAGCCATTACATTTCTTGACTTGTGGGGTAAAATGCGAAAAATCTACATAACAAATAATATAAGGGGTGTGGGCATGGTCGATACTTAATTTCCAACAAAAAGACATCTTGCAGGGGGGGACAAGGAGATTCATCCCTATCATAAGAAATTTGATTCATAATGATTATTGGTTATACTAACAAAACTTCATCTAAGCATTTGTTTTTAAAATTTTTGAAAGTGTTTGTTCGAAACACATTCTTATAAATATTCTCAAATCAAAACTTCTTAAATTTAATTGTGGGATTAATTATACTTTTTTTTCTTCTCTAAAAGAATTTCAAAAGTTACTCCTAGAAAATATTATTCTAAATCTGAAAAGGGTTTAATTGGAGAAGAAGAGAAAGAGATTTACTAAGTCCACTTTAACAAAAAAATTATGGGTGAGGAAATACCCAGAATAGTTCATAAGACTTTAATTAAAATCTAAATAAAGTTCTTGTGAATATGATGAACAAGTTTTATAAATACATGTCCAATAAAAGTAGATCTAGTAATGAATTAATACACAAATGGAACATCAATTTATATTTTAGCTACTCGATATAGCTAAAAATTAATATTTAAGTTGCATACCTAGGTGAAAAATGTGTCCACACTTCAACTTGGCAATGGACCTGCTATTATTGTTCATAACAACCTCCAAGAAAATGGAGCAATCTGGGGCATTCATGTTATTGACAGGAAATGAATATTTATATTAAAATATTGGAGATTAAAAATATTTTTTTATTACAGATTCAATGTGATGAGCTTGATGAATATCAACCCTCAACCAACAAATTCTTAGAGAAAAGTAGTAAAAAAACTAATTAATTAAGATCAGGGTATGATATATACATACATATATATAATCAAATCGCTTATATGAAGAAAAAAAAACTATTAGTAACAACCTTTGTAAATTGTAAATCTGAAATTTGGATGAACAAATTGAAAAACTATTTGAGGGGTTTTATTAAAACAAAAACGTTGCACATACAAAATAACTTATAGCATAAAAAATTTTTATATTATATATTGTGCAATTTAATGTGTCATAATTTCACTCTTATCTGGGTGG